GATGTGGTGCATGTGTGGGGTGTGATGTGTGTATGTGGTATGTGTAGTGTGTGTGTATGGTGTGTGTATGTGGTGTACACTGTGTATGTGGTATGTGTGATTAGGGGTGTGTGTGGTGTGTTTGTGGAGGGGTGTATATGTGCAATGTGTGCTGTGTGGGATGTGGTGGTGTGCGTGCCTGGGCTGGTGTGTGGGTCTGGGTGGTTATGCTTGGCAGGGAGAGAAGGGAGGTGCACCTCTGCAGGTGTGTGTATGTGGTGTGTGTGGTGTATATGTGGTGTATACGTGTGGGGTGTGTGTACACCCCAGGCACAAAGGCACCCCTAACCAGGGTCAGGCCAGAGCATTTGGTTGATGTGGGCAGGGTGGGAATAGGAGTGGCATCCAGGATGAGAGGGTCCCATCCATGCAGGAAACCCCACATCACCCCTGAACCCCTCCTCTCCAGGACAGGCACAGGGTCTTCTGTCAAGGGCCAGCCTCTGAGCCTGCTCTGTGTACCCATGGACACCTAATCTGGACAGACAGGTGTGTGAGCACACACAGTATGTGACTGCAGGGAACCAGCTTTGTGCACCCAGATGGGACAGGGTGTCGGGGGCTCATTTGTATGGCGACAGACAGGTGGGCTGGCAGCAGGCCCCTGGCTGGGGATGTGCGTGGTGTGTGTGTGCCTACTGGTGGGTGTCACTGTGGGTCTGTACTGTGTGCACAGATGTGTCCTACTTGGGCGTATGACAGGAGGGATACATCCCCAGATTGTGCCTGAATGTGTGGCCATGGGTAGGTGCAGCTGGTGTGTGTGTGCGTGTGTGTACACGCGCATTGGGGCATGGTGTGTGCACGCAGCGGTGGCAGTGGGAGAAGGGTCTTGGGCTGCGTCTCTTTCCTCTTTAGACAGAGCCCCGGAGAAGATATGAAATTTAAAAAAAAAATCAATTTTCATTCCACTTGTGCAGATTGTGTTAACGGGAGGTGGGGATGGAGGGGCCTGGGTGAGGGATGAAGGGGCTGGTGGGGGGGGTGCGAGGCCTGAGGCGGCTCCCGAGGCGGCCGGTGCAGCTTAGAGAAATCAAAACAACTGGTTAAACCCCAGCCCGGGGGGCCAGGGTGATGGGGGGTTAGGAGACAGAGGCAGAGAGAGATGACAGAGAGCCCAGAGATGGAGAGGTACAGAGACAGAGAGAGATGCCCAGAGACAGAGATGGGGGAAACAGAGACACTCAGAGATGGAGATAGAGAGGCAGGCTGAGATGAGCAGCAAAGACCCTCAGTGATAGAGACAGACAGAGAGAAAGAGACAACGACACCCAAAGGGGCTGAGAGAGACCGAGAGACCTGTGTCTTGAGAGACTGACACAGAAGCAGGTCTGAGATAAGGGCACGTGTCACATACCCACACACAGGAGCCCATGCAGACACACGCTCGGGAAGTCCACAGACGAGGGACAGGGAGGCAGATGGGGACAGGTGGCAGCCAGCAGGAGTGGCAGGGGCTGGGGTGGGGGTCACCTTTGAGTGCCCACCCCTACCCCAACTGGGCTTTGAGTGTGTCTGGGTGTACCTCTGCAGGGGCCGCTGTGGGTCCGTCGTATGTTTGGGACCATGATCTTGGTGTGTATGTGATTGTGACTGTCTGTGAATGAGTGTGTGTGTGTGTGACCGTGTGCATTGGCTGTCTGGGTTGGTGGTGGTGTGTGTACCTCTACAGCTCCATGCCTGACCAAGTGCACACGTACGCCCTCAAGGGTTGGTGGTGCTTGTCTGTGTGACTGTGTGTCTGTGTGTTGCTGTCTGTGTGTCACTGTGTGCTCAGGGATCTGAGTTTCTGTATTTGATCGTGAGGCTCGGTATGTGATTATGTGTCTGCATAGCATGTCTAGGATTTGTGATTACATGTCTTTGTTTCTGTGTGAGATTGAATTGGTGTGTGTCTTTTATCTGTAAAATTGTGTGTCTGTTTCTGTGCATCTGTGACTTTTCTGATGTGTGTGTGTGACTGTGTTGGTGTGTGACTATACTGACACATGCATCTGTATGATGTGGGTTGTGTGTGGTAGTAGTGGTGTGTGTCTGCGATGTGTTGTGTGGGACGGTGGTGTGCGGGTGGTGTGCGTGGAGTGCCGGTGTGTACATCTGTGCAATGCGTGCTGTGTGGGATGTGGTGGTGTGCGTGTCTGGGCTGGTGTGTGGATCTGGGTGGTTATGCTTGGCAGGGAGAGAAGGGAGGAGGGCCCTCGCCTGCCCAGCGCCTCTGCACACTGCTTCGCTCACATGCGCACACACATTCGGTGCCATGGCTGCGGGCGGTAGGGATGGGGGGCGAAGGGGGGGTGGAGGAAGCAAAATAAAATTAAAAATTAAAGCTTGCCTGGAGTCCCCATCCGCACCGCGCCGGCCGGCGGGGAGGGGCGGGGGTTGTGGCTGCTCCCCCTCCACAGCCACTGGGGCTGGGGCCGTTTGTCCATCCGTCCGGCCGTCCTGCCAGGTCCTGCTTGGCCCTGCAGCCCCAGGCCCCGCAGACCGAGCTCCCTTCATCGGTCGATCAGCGATCAATGGGGCCAGGGGGGCGCCAGGGGCAGGGCGAGATCAAAGGGACCCCAAGAGACAGACACCGGATGGAAACAGAGACAGAGACAGGGAGATGGAGACATGGAGACAGAGACACAGAGACAGGGAGACCCAGAGACATGGAGACAGAAACACAGAGATGGGGAGACACGGAGACATGGAGACAGAGACAGATGAGGAGACACAGATGGGGACATGCGGACCGGGCAGGGATGTGAGGAGGAGGCGGAGACAGAGACAGGGGTGTGGAGACCCTAGACATCAAAACAGAGCCATGCAGAGACCCAGAGATGTGGGGACACAGAGACATGGGGACTCAGAGATGGGAAGAACAGGGTGGCAGAGGTGGTGGGCATGGGCCGGGGGTCCAGGTCCCTGTGGGGCCTGACACAGGACCAAGGCCGGGCACAGAGACAAGGAGAAGTGGCCACAGAGACCACGAGATGGCAGAGACGCGAGTGAGACATGGCGGGGGGAGCGTGGGAGCAGGGCCCGGAGCGCCGATCCCACGGCTCCTCGTTATAACGTGTCCGGAGGAGGCGGCGGGGAGTTGAAAGCGTAGGGAAGAGAAATCAAAACCAACACGGAAATGAGAGGGGCCAATAGGGGGTGGGGGTGGGGGGAGGAAGGAGGGGGACCCTGAGAGGCAGAAAGAGCGGGAGGTGGGAGAGCGATGGGTGGGGGAGAGGTGTGGAGGAGCGGGGCTGCTGGAGAAATTCGGGACGGGACAGGGTGGGGGCAGAAACGGGAGAGAGGGAGGGAGAGACAGAGACAGAGATGGAGGAGGAGAGAGAGACAGAGAGATGGTACAAGGGGAGGGAGAGACAGACAGACAGTGGAAAGGGAGGGGGAGACGGATCGCATGGGGAGACAGAGACGGGGAGAAAGTCATAGGGAGAGAGATGGACACACTGGAAAGAGGAAGAGAGACAGAAAAGAGGTGGGGGTGGGAGATGGAGAAACACAGAAGAGACTGAGTGGTGGAGGGAGAGATGGAGAGAGGGGGAGAGGACAGTGAGGTGGGGAGAGAGAACCCCCAGGTGGAGGAGAGAGACAGAAATGGAAGCGAGATGGTGGGGAGACAGGGAAGGGAGAGGAGACCAAGTGAAGGGGAGAGACAGAGATGGAGAGGGAGAGATATCGAGAGACGGGGCAGATGGAGAAAGAAGGGGAGACAGGTGTGGGAACAGAGGGGGCCTGGGACTGGGGAGGCTCCAGGAGGCAGATGGGAGGTGGGGGCATCTGGGGCTGGGGCCTTTGTGGGGGGACCTGGCGAGTCTGAAGCAACTTGGGGTATCTGAAAAGTCTTGTCCAGTGTCCAGGGGGTAGGCGGGACTGACAGGGGAACACAGTGTGGGCTGCCGGGGTCTGAGGCGTATGTGGGGGCGGCATGGGAGCAGTGGGTGTCAGAGGAGTGGGTTGAGAGTATCTGGGGGATCTCCAGGAAGAAGGTGCTCCAGAGGTGTGGTCTGAGGGTGGCAGTGAGGGGCCGAAGTGCCGGACGGGAGGGGTCTTGGGAGCGCCAGGGCAGTGTGTGTCTGCAGCAGGGTGTGAGAGGGAGCAGATTCCGTGGGTGTGGGTGTGGAGGGGAGGCGCCGGCTGAGGGGAAAGGTTCGGGGAGGCTGGAATGAGGAGGGGATGGAGTATCTTAGGGGCGTAAGGTATCTAGGGAGAGGGAGTGTCTGAGGGAGAGGGCCTGATGGGGAGGCAGATGTGAGGGGAAGGGGTGTCTGAGGAGGGAGGCAGATCCAAGTGGCAGGGGTCTTCAGGGCGAGCAGCAGGTCTGGGGTCTGTGGAGGCCTCCTGCAGGGCACTGGGGGCTGCCCTGTGGGGTAGGAGACTGGAGGAGGGGGTGCCAGGCCTGCCCCTCCAGCCTGTCAGGGGCCGCAGCGGGTTGGGGCTGTGCCTGGGCTGGAAGAGCCTGTCTGGGGGTCGTCCGGGCAGGGCGGGCGTGGGGGCAAGTTTCGGAGCAAGGTAAATCTGGGGCAGATAGAGAAAGACAGAGGGGGACCCAGAGACGCAGGGACCGACCGCCCGGGAGGTCAGGCGGGAGACCGGGATGGGAGATGGCAGCAGAGACGGTGCGGAGCGCGGGCGGGCGGGAGAGCCAGCGAGTGTGAGAGCATGAGGGAGTGTCGGGGAGCGGGGAGGGAGGCTGGGAGCGGTGTGGTTAGTGATGGAGGCATCGAGTGAGGAGGAGGCTGCAGGAGGAGAGGCTGGGAGGGAAGGAACGGGCCGGAGAAGGGAGCGGACGGCCTGGGACACAGCGGAGCCCCAGGGAGGGAGAGGGCAGGAGGGATTGCAGGGGGGTGCGGAGGACTGGGGTGGGGACCTGGGAGAGGGGAGGTCCCGGGCAGCACCCTGCTGGCTGACCTGTGTCTGTCTCTCCTGCCCACCCCGTCCCTGTGTGTCCCTCCCGGCCTCTGCAGGGCCGGCTCCGCCATGGACTGTAGCTGCGTCTCCGACCTTCTCTTCACCCCGCCCGCCCTGCCGGCTCTCTGGACCCCCGGTAACTGGCCCAGACTTCCCCGACCCCTTCCCCCAGCCCTCAGGCCTCCCCAGTGAGCCGCACCCAGCTTCTCTGTGTCTCCACATGTCTCACTCTAGTCTGTGAGTCCTCCTCTCTTGGTCTTGGTCAGAATCTCCCAAATCAAACCCCTTCCTGAGAAACTTGGCTAAAAACTTCGCAGCCAGATTCCCCTGCCACCCGCCTGCTGGGACATGCGGGTCTTCTGGAGGGTGGGCGAGGTGCAGAGGTGACTGAGGGGCATCCCTGCCACGCATGTCTCAGCCTGCTCCCAAGCAGGACCTGCGGGGAGAGTAAGCAGGGACTGGGATGGAGGGGCACTAGGCCAGGCATGGATGGACAGATGGACAGACGGCACTGCCCAGTCAGAGGGACGTGCAGGCATAATCTGGCCAGCCGGAGCCCTGGGAGAAAGGACAGCTTGCTCAGAGTGGAGGGTTGGAGCTTGGGGGTGGACAGTGAGGCTGGCTTGGATATGCACCCTGCCGGTGTGCCGGTGTGCAGCAGGGGTGTGTGTGTGAGAGACTTTGTGCTTGGTTATTTGGGGGTCTCATTTCAGTGTGTCCCTGTGTCACACTTCAGTGTTTCTAGAAGGGGTCACACTGGGAGAATGTGTCTGCGCAGCCTGTCTTTGTGTGAGCTTGTGTATTTGCGTGTACCTGCACATCTGAGGCTACCTGAGTGTCTCTGGGCTGGGTGTGTCTGCATTTTGGGATGGGGGTGTCTGCCAGCTCATGGAGCCTGCCTCTGCCGGACTGGGGTGAGGAACCTTTGCCTGTCTCTCGCAGTCGGTCTCGTGGTGTGTGGCGTTCCCAGTGGATATCTTGGTGCATTTGGGGTTGTGTGGGGGAGGCGTTCCTGTGATTCTGTGTTGGGGGCTGTGTCTGGTTTTCAGCGCAGGGTCCGTGTGTGCATGAGTGAATTCTGGGGGTTTGTCTGTCATGTGTGTCTACCTACTGGGTTTGTGGGTCCTCTCTCTAGCTGTGCCTGTGCCTCGATATGATACATTGAGGGTGTGCACTGGAAGACAGGTGGTGTATCCGGGTGGGGTGTCCCATTGTCACCTTGGGGTCCTGCGGGTGTCTGTGATACAGCTGCCTCCCCAGTAGGATGTGTTCTGGGTGTGGAATGGGTCAGAGCTGGAGTCTGGATCCAGCCCTATCACTGGAGGTGAGAAAGACCCAAAAAGGAATTGAGATAAAAATTCTCCCTCAAGGAGGAAACTGCCTGGAGCTCCCTGGCTTTCAGGCCGGGAGGCATGAGCACCCACTTTTATATACGGGACAGCCAGGGCAGGACCCTGCACCTCCTTGTCTTCCACCTCTGAAGTTCTAAGCCAGAGAGGGCAAGGACCTGCCAGTAATCGTACAGCAAGTGGACACAGCGACGCTGGTTGTCTCCCCTGCCCTGGCCACCCCTCTTCCTGCACTGCCGCCAGCTCTTCATGGACTCACTCTGCCTTCTGTTTTCATGCCTGGGTCTGGGGCCTCTGAGGAGTGGGGAGGGAGCAGAGGAGTGAGTACAGAGGTTGGACCCATGGCCTGGGGCCTTCTGCATCGGGGGGTGATTTCAGGGTGCCCAGTTCCTAAGGGTATGTGGACAGTGGAGTACCCCACTCTGTATGCGAGACATCATGCTGAGTGAGCCGTGGGTATCAGGGCTGACGTGTGGGTGCCTCCGTGTGTGGGTTTGGGAAGTTGCTCTGCTGACACGCTGTCACCTTTCGTGTGGCTGTTGGGCTGTGTCTGGGGACACGGGCATCTTGTGGTGTGTTCACTGCTTCCATCGTACAGTGTGTTCTTTGGGCCTTAGTGGTCCTGTGTATGTTGCAGTTATTAGGTCCGTCCTGAGATGTGTAATTGTGTGCTGTGATGGGTGTGCACCCTGGGGTTGTTGAGATGATATGACCTTGAGTCTTGGGCAGCCTGTCTGCCATGCCAGCCTTGGCGGACCCCAGCACATGTGGGGGCCTATGGCACTCTGCTGTGCCTGTGACCCAGTGTGGCAGTGTGTCATGTCTTCCGTGGGTATCGGTGAGTATGTGCGCATGTACACACACCCTGTTCAGGACTGCTCTTGGATGGACACGGGCATGGATATGGGACAGAGGGGACACAGGGACAGGAAAGGTACAAAAACACAGACAGGTGCATGCACACAGCCCCAGCCTGGATATGCCAGGGTGTGTCAGTGGGGGGCTCTGGGGAATGCCAAAAGGTGGAGCAGGGGAGAGGGAATGGGGAACAGAGGCAGCAGGAGCTGGGGGCACTGTAGGGTGCAGGAGAGACCAGAGACCTTCCGGGGCTGGCTGGGAGCAGCGGGAGGACTAATGCTGTGGAGGGAGCACCCCTTCCATTCCTCCCCACTGTCATGGGAGCAGGAAGCCAGTCCCTCCCAATTCCACCCCTGATGCTGAGCCTGGGGGAGCTGTGCCAAGGTAGGGGACCAGACTGGTACCAACCTAGGGTCCCTGTATGACTGGGTTCTAGCCCCTATTTGGATGATTTGGGGACCAGACACCAGGGGAGGAGGTTTGGAGAGTGGAAACCACGTCCCCAAAGATGCCTGAGGCTGGAGGAGAATCAGATGCCTCCCAGTTTACTGAGTCCAGCAGGACCCAGAGCCCTGGACTTGGCATCCTGACCACAGGCGACTCCCTGCCTCCCGTCCCCAGGGTTTGCCTTCCCGGATTGGGCCTATAAGCCGGAGTCATCCCCTGGCTCGAGGCAGATCCAGCTGTGGCACTTTATCCTGGAGCTGCTGCAGAAGGAGGAGTACCAGGGTGTTATTGCCTGGCAGGGAGACTATGGAGAATTCGTCATCAAGGACCCTGACGAGGTGGCCCGACTGTGGGGCATTCGCAAATGCAAGCCCCACATGAATTACGACAAGCTGAGCCGGGCCCTGCGGTGAGGACAGGCTGGGAGCTGGATGCCACCTTACTCCCTTCCCCCTACTGCCCCTCTGGTGCCCCCTCTGCATCCTGGGGCAGTTTCCTGCTGGATCCCACCAAGGCACAGGGCTGTGCATGAGTAACCACCATAGCTACTCGTGAGTGGGAGGGAGGTGAAAGGAAGGACCCCTAAACCTAGGCTTGTGAGTGGAAGGGAGGTGGGAGGAAGAATCCCTAAACCTGGGCTTTGGAGTCTCGTAAGGCAGGGTCCCCGCTCCTGCCTCATCCCTTCCTTGCCCTGTGAGACGGTTAAGGGACTTCTGTGAGCCTCAGTTTTCCCAAGTTCTAGTGCTCTGTGCACCATGCCTGGGACTGCATGCATTAAGAAACCCAGACCCCACCCCAGGGCTCCCCCTGGGCCTCCCCAGCACCACCTGCTCTCCCCACAGTTACTACTATAACAAGCGGATTCTCCACAAGACCAAAGGGAAGAGGTTCACCTACAAGTTCAACTTCAGCAAAGTTGTGCTTGTTAATTACCCGCTGCTGGATGTGGCGGCAGCTGCCACCGGCTCCCCACTCTTGCTGACCCCCAGTCCCTTCTGTGGGGCCCCAGGGCCAGATGCTTCTCCACTCACCCCTGAGGTGAGTCTGGGTACTGGGGTCCTGGAACCAAGGCATTTGGTGCCCACTCTGGGGCGGGGACCGTCTGAACAGGGCTGCTTCTCCCGCTCTCTCTCTAGACCCTACAGACCCTGTTCTCTGCCCCACGCCTGGGAGAGCCAGGGGCCCGGACACCCCTGTTCACCTCTGAGACGGATAAACTGCGTTTGGACAGCCCTTTCCCGTTCCTGGGCTCTGGTAAGAGCCTGGAGGTTCTGGGGTGCTTGGGGCGCGGTGGGAGAAGCTGCAGGCTTAAGGGAAAAGGATAAGAAAAGATGAGAGAAGGAATGGGAAGGGGGCCCAGGGCTAGGCTGTAGGATGCATGTGTGTGGTGTGTTTGTGTGTGTGTAAAAGCCAGAAAAGGATGTGAGGTGAGGGGGGGGAAATGAGGGGGGAACAAGGGCTTTCAGGGGTGCCTAAGGAATGGGAAGACAAGGCGGGGACTGGGAGGAGATGGAGTTGGGGGAAGCCGTGAGGGGGTGAGATGCCATGTGGGAGGGATTCGGGGAGATGGGGTGGGATATGGCAGGGAGGCAGCCCCCTTTACTGGTCCCCAGGCAGGCAGACTCCCCAGCCTGACCTACCCCTATGCCCCTCAGGTGCCACCGGCTATTCCAAGCCCCCTGGCCTGCTGGGTCCTTATGGCCGCGCCTTCCCTGAGTACCCCTGGAACTTTAACCCATACCTTACAGGCCCCTTCCCCAAGCTGCCTCCCTCTCTCTACCCCCCACATTTCTATCCCAACCCTCTGGCCAGTTCCCTGGGCCACCTGCCCTCAGCAGGGGCAGCGGGAGGCCCCACAGCCACACCCCTGCTGGCCTCGACAGGGGAGGGCCTGGGCCCTGAGCGCCCCTCAGGCCTGGCAGCGGCCCCCCGCTTGGCACTGCCAGGGGCTGGGGGTCCAGAGGCTGCCCTTGGTGGAAAGGAGGACAGCGACTCAGAGCTGGAGATCACCGACGTCAGCGGCTGCAGCTCTGACAGTGAGGGCGATGAGGGCCTTCCAGTGCCCCCCAAGGCAAAGGCGGGCAAAGGGGGAACTGGCAGCTGAGCTGGCAGGGGGCGATGGATTCCACTGAGGCAGGGACCAGGGCGGCTGACCGTCTGCCTTTGATGCCCGGCCCCAGCATAGGGGTCTCACTTCCCCTCCAGAGAGAGAGGGAATGTGATGGCTTCCAGCCTCCTCCCCAGGCTCCAGTTTGAGGGGGGTCCCCGCCTGGCCCCACTTCTAAAGTGCAATATGGCGCCCAGCCTGCCCTGCCCACCCACCCCTGTGCTGTACCCCGCGTATTTGTGTGGCCGTGTCTCCAACCCCCTGTGCTGACCCTAGTCCTGACAACCCCCCCGCCACCCCTGCCTAGGCCCCCCTGGGGACAGGGAGCTCAGAGCAATAACCCCGCCCCTAGCCCCCACCCAGGAGGGGCCCCCTCCCCACCAGCTCCCCATGATCCCAACAGTCCCCTCCAGAGAGTTTACTACAGAAATAAAAGGAGAGAGAGAGACTTGGGGTGCTCAGTGCTGAGCGTGAGGGGTCAGGGTGGGAGCTGGAGGGTGGTGTCAGGGAGATGCCTCATACCCAGTGTGTGCTCGGAGTGCCTGGGGAGTAACTGTTCAAAGAAATGAATGAACAACTGGTGGGAGGCACACAGGCACAGACCCAGGAAGTCGACGCCAGACAGTCACGGAGAGTTCCAAACGCCATGCTAGGCCCCATCCCGCCCTCACACACATAGATCTCGTCTTAGATAATATATATTAAAAAATAAACCTCCAATTCAGGGTATAAAAACAGAGCGAAGGCACTTGGGGGTGGGGGGGTGGAGGGTGGCCTCCACAGGCAATACTGAGATGGCCCGGGTCACCATGGTGCCCCTGGAATGAAGCCCTGAGTCCTCCAAGCAGAGGGCAGGAGGGAGAGATGGCCAAGGCCCATTCTGGGCCAATAACCCCAGCTGGGCCCCTCCCGGGCGTGGCCTGAAGCTCCCTCTCTTCAGGCCCTCGGGGTGTGAGATGCTGCTGCAGCTGTGTGGGTGGGGGTGGTCCCTCATGTCCTCTCCCCAATTCCTTTCCTTCTTGAAAAAGGCCTGGGGAATGTAGGAGAAGAGGGTAGACAGGGAGAGATGGAGAGAGAAACAGGGAGAACAGAGAGAAAGGGAGGTGGGGAGAGGCAGGTGGGCACAGAGACAGAGGAGCAGAGATTATCAGAAACAGAGACACAGATGAGAGACATGAGTTAAGAGTGGGGAGACTCAGGAAAGACAAAAAAAGATGGACAGAAGGGGCTGTAAGGATTCGAGCTCTGGAGGGGGTCTCCTTCCAGGACAGTGCCCCGGCCCCCAGGTCCACCACTCACCTTCCTGGGCAGGGACCTCAAGTGCAGCCAGGCTGGGGAACAGAGTTCCCCCCAAGCTGAGACAGGAGGGGTCGCAGGCGGCAAAATTCCTCCTCCAACTCCTGTTGGGGTAGGGGTCATGGATGAGGGGGCCCCTCTCCTTCCCCAGCCCATTCAGGGTACCCCTGGCTGGCCCTGCCTTACCTCCAGCTGCTTCATGGTCTCCTCCAAGCTTAGCAGGTTCTCCTGGATTTCCTGGGTCTGTGCTGGGCTCAGGGGGCCGCCCCCTGGGATCCCATGCCCATCTGGAGGAGGCCCTGCCCCGCTGTCTTCCTCCACGGGAAACAGAAGCTGCTTCAGGGACAGCACTGGTCAGGGGCAAGCAGGTGGAGTTAGGAGACGGAGCGGGAGCGGGGGGAGCAGGACTGGGAGCTGGAATGGGGGATGCCGAAGGGGTTGTGTAGGGGCTGGAGGTGAGGGTGGGTGCCAGGCAAGCCTCAGCAGATGAGGTTAGGGTGGTGAAGAAGGCTGGGTTCAGGGTTGGGACAGGGCAGGAAGGTATGTGTTCAGGGAGAAGCTGAATACAGAAGCAAGGAAGGGATGGCGGCTGCAGAAGAGGGGCTTGGGCACCCAGGACAGCGGTACAAGCTGGGTGGGTTGGGAGCATTTGTTTTCTGGCAGTTGGGCATAAGGAAATTTTTGACAGGGAGAGAGAGCCTTGCTCTAGTTGAAACAGGGGCACTGTTTGGGCTGGTGGCCACCTGGAGGGGCAGGGCTAGACTACCTTTCCGAAGGGCCGTGGCCGCGAGCTGGCCCTCGGGGCCTGGTCTGCAGAAGGGCAGGAGGTCGCTGAGGATTCTCTCTGTCCGGGCTGGGTTGGGGAACAGGGAGGGAGCTCAGATCCTGCCAGGCCTCCTGTGGATGCCTCCCTCTCTCCACCGGGGAGCCCCGACCCAGCCCCTCCCGCAGCATCCCTCTAGTCTCACCATCAGCCTGCGACGTCTCTCGGCCCCCATTGCCGTTCTCAGAGCTGCTGAGGAGGGGTTCTCGAGTGCTGAAGGGAGGAAGTGCTGGGTGACCCCACACCCCTGGCCCCGGGGGGCTGCAGGGGTGGGGAGACAGAGAGCTGGAGGTGGGGAGGCAAGGAGGTCCGGAGACAGAAGTCGAGGCTGGGAGACAGGGAGACAGAGAGGCCCAGACAACAGAAGACACAGGACTGGAGACAGGAGACAGATGGGGCAGTGGTGGGGACAGCACACACACACACACACACACCCCGTATGCACGTGTGCAGATACACACCATACACGCACACACACAGTCATATGCTCGCATACAGGCACACGTGCACACACACACGGAGATGGCTGGGGCTTGCATTCTGGAGTTGTGTAGGGAAGCCAGCCCTGCCTTCCAGGCCCCTCCCTGAACCTCCAGCTCCCTCCATGGCCCTACTCACCTGCTCGGGCTGGGCCGGGGCTTAGGGCGAGAGGCAGGGGCAGGGACTTTCAGGGATCCGGCAGTCTCAGTGATGAGGGCACACCAGCTGGGGAAGAGGCCAAACCCCTAGGCAGTCAGAGCCCCCAGACCCTATCCCGGGGCCTCCCCACAGCCCTCCTGTTCCCAGGAACACAGAGGCCTGAGCCTCCTCAACCCACACTCGGAACTCAGACCCCACTCACTTCTTCCGCTCTGACACAGTCTGTGCCACCAGCTCATAGATCTGGGCCTCCTGGTCCCAGGTAAAAATGACGTAGAAGGCTTTGTGATCTGCAGGGAAAGGGGGAGATGGCGCTCGGAGCCCAGGTCCCCCCAGTGCATACCCCTCCTTGAGCACACCCACGAAGGCTGTGCCCTCAGTGCTTAACTTACCCCTCACTGTCCACTAATATCCAGAGCCCTATGAGTCCTCCTCCTGAGCCTCCCCACTCACACCTCCTTATGGAATCAGCCAAGTCCCCTGGTCTACCTATGAAACCCCTCCAGCCACTCCCACCCTCTAGCCGCTTCCAGTGTTTCTGGCCTGATACGACTCCCCAGCACTGGGTTTACAAATCCCTCCTCCCTGGGCTCCTGGCATTTCCTCTCGTTTGCACGAGACACACCTCTGTGCAAACACCTGCAGCACTTCTCACCTCACTTATAAAACCGGCTAGGCCTGGCCCCGCCCTGCCCACCTCCACCCACTTCTCAACCTCTCTGCCAGAATGCCAGCTCCCTGGCTCTCTAGAGGGTTCCGCTCCCCACTGCACAGGCAGCTCTGCCTGAAAAGGACACCCTCTGTCCTGGGCCATGCAGTGGCTGTGCTCACCGGTGGCCACCTCGCGGGTCATGGCGGAGGTGAGCCGCAGCACGGGCCGCAGCATGGTCTTGCCATCGGGTGTGGGTGTCAGTGTCCGGCTATGGGACTTGAGCAGCAGCCGCTCGTCCTGGCGCTGGAGCAGCAGCAGCAGATCGTCCAGCAGCAGCACATGCACCTCTATGGGGCAGGCAGTGTTCACATGGTGCCCCCACGAGACACCCTCCCCACCCGGGCTCACTGCCCCCACACCCCGCACCAGGCAGCTGCCCTGGCACTCACCCACAGCCTTGTCCTTTGTCACCCGCCACGTCAGTGGGCCCTCGTGGACCAATTTCTTCTTGGTGATGTCCAGGTTCTGGGGCAGGAGGGGGAGTGATGGTTCATGCAGGTTGGCAGGAGGTAATTGGGGTTGGTGGAGAGGGGAAGGGCAAGACAGTGGCCGGGGATGACCACAGGCTGGGGATCATGGGATTGGCATGAGGTGGGGTCCAGAGCTCTTGTTCCCTGGGTGTATTATGGGATGGGCAGGACAGGCTGGGGGCTGCATCACAGAATCCCCTGGGCCAAGGAGAGTAGGGGGGTAGGGGAGGCAGGAGTGTCAGGTCGCACCTTGAACTCGGTCAGCATGGGGTCGCTGCTCTGCCGAAGGTGGGACAAGTCCAGGCGCCGCTGATAGTCCTTGAGCCTCTGGGGCAGAGACAGGCATGTTATGGGGACAAGCTATGTGATGGGGCTGACCTGCAGTGACCCACACTGGTAAGGCGAGAGCCAAGAGAAACTTCTGATGGGGGCAAGCTGAGGGTGGCGCCCAACCTCCAATGACCCTGAGAGGGAGGTACTGAGGGCCAAGCCAAGCCCCACACATATGGTGACCCTCGTGGGAGACAGGCCAAGGGGTCAGGTATGGCTTCTGGATAGGCTGAGGTAGGGGCCGGCTCGCGTTCCCACTCCCACACTGCCCAATGTCCCGGGCATGGGGCCAGCACCAGGCTCACCAGCAGGTCCTCCATGTCACGCACAGCTTGGTTGACGTGGTGTAGAATTTCCCGGCAGCACTCGGCGGCCAGCTCCACTTTCTCCCGTTCTGTGGACTCTTCTGCAGGCAAGAAAGAGAGCAGGTCTGGTGAACCCCTGCCATAGAGGCTCCAGGTTCCGCAGCCAAGGTCAGAGAAAGGAGAGCTGGCGGGGCATAGTGGCTCATGCCTGTAATCCCAGCATTTTGGGAGGCTGAGGCAGGAGGATCACTTGAGACCAGGAGTTCAAGATGAGCCTGGATAACATGGCGAGACCCCATCTCTATAAAAAAATATTTTAAAAATTAGCTGGGCATGGTGGTGTGTCCCTGGGGTCCCAGCTACTCAGGAAGCTGAGGAGGGAGGACAGCTAGAGCCTGGGTGATTGAGGCTGCAAGGAGCTGTGATGTTATCACTGATGAAGATGAGAAAAACAATTTTTAAAAAGAGGAGAGCCAAGGCACAGAGAGCTGGGCCTGCAGTACCTGTGTTCTGCCCGATGCTCTGCAGGAGCAGGGGGTACTTGGTCAGCCGCTGCATCTCCGTGGGGATCATGTCCTTCAGCTGCAGGCGGCGGCACCTCGGGCGGCTCTCGGCTTCCTGCGGGAAACGGCTGCTGGTGCTGCGACAGCCCAGACTTCCGGTGCACCCCAGGGTGCAGGCACCGAGGAGTCTGAGTCTCCAGGCCCCTCCTCCCTGGGAACCTGGAGGCCAGACCCCACCTCACCTGCACGAAGGCACAGAACCGAGGCTCCTTGCGTTGCTTGGCTTTGAGCTGCTCTAAGGCAAATGACTGGCGGCTGCAGAAGCGGGAGGAGATTTTCTGGAACCAGGAGCCCTCAGCACCATCAAACTACAGTGAGATTCAGGCCAGGCAGGCATCTCAGTGGGGATGGGCAAGAACAGGGCCTGAAGTACGACAGGCGTGAAGCCCAGACCCTGGGACTGGAGTAGGGTAGGCTCAGGA